AAAATTAAATAAGTATATTTGAAATAAAATTAATATTTAATCTAATTAAATAATTATATCTATTTACTATTTGATCTTCTATCAATGTTTTTAGTAATGTAAAAACTATAGTTAATCTAGTAAATAATAAAGCTGAGACAGCATAGACTAAAGTTTTTCCTCCACCTGTTGAAAAAATACATAAAATATCATTTTCTTTAATAAAACAATTGATACTATCTTTTTGTTTTGGTCTAAATTCAGTAAATCCAAATACCTCACTAATAATTGCATCTAGCATTATATTTTTTAAATTAGATATATCTTTTTTTTTAATAAACTTGATTTGGAATCTGTTAAGAGTAGTCATATTTTATATAAAAACAACATACAAAGCAAAGATCATTAGGATATCATATAGGAAATGATTGGCAACCATTACATTTTATAATTGTTTTAAAGTTGGATATTCTTGATGCAAAAAAGAATAAAATTGTGCATTTTTTAAATTTTGTTGTATAATTTGATTATATGGTATCAAGTTCTATTATTAAATATAAATTAGTATATATGTATTTAGTACTTTAATACTATATAGTAATTGAACTCGTCAATGCATAACTTGAATAATTCATTCTTTGTGAGTTAATTATTAATGCATAATTATATGCTATAATGTTTAAATAATAAAATTGCAATATCTAATAAAAATAAAAAAATTTAATAATTTTTAAGACATTTCTACCTATACAAACATAACACAAAACCAAAGCAACAATGAATAATTAAAATACTAATTGCTTTTACAAGTTGTAATCTGTGATAATTGTTTTTATAACATATAATTTGAATTATATTTGTTTTGTATAACTCACTATTTATTTTTGTAACTTAATTTACAAAACATTCAATAAATTAATTGTTGTAACTCAAATTAATTAAATAAAACTCAAATAAATAATTTGATTAAATAATTCGAGCACTCTTCAGAGTTTAGAGTCCAGTCACTACTTTGTCAAATCAAAGTTTAAGTTTCAAATCAAAAATTTGATCAAACTTGACTTGATTAAATAAAGCTAAATTTTAATTTAATTTTGTGAACTACTTACTTGTCCAAAATCAAAGCTACTAAGACATGCTTTTTAATTTATTATTTTTTGAGCATGGGTCTAATTTTAAGCTTCAATCTTTGTTATATTTGCTATATGTCAATATTCTTTTTATTCTTGTATTTACTAATATTATGTATATCTTAATCTGAAAATTCATATAAATCACCAGCACTTCTAACAATATTTAACATTTCTAATAAACCAACATTATTATACAATACTGCTAATACATGACAGGCTGCAAAAGATTTTGGATAATTAGTTTTTTTATCAGAATAGTTTAATTTTAAATAATTAATTGCCTCATTTGCACTTGTTCTAATTGTTATAATAAGACTTTGCTAATCTGGTAATTTCATAATTTTTTGTAAAAACTTTTCTAAATTTTTATATTGTATATTATTATAGGTAGTTAAATTTGGTTCACTAATTTCAAGATCTGGATTTTCTACAATCCAACAAACTTCAGGCTAGCAATTATTATGTTTATCATATAAATGCTTAATTACAATTTTAGTTTGCATATCAAATAACTGATTATCTGTTAGATTTTCTAAATCTGAATTAGAAGTATGTGTAATTGCTGTATATACACATTTGTGATAATATTTCATAATTGGTTGTTCAAAATACTTTCAATGAACATGATTTGCCAAAACAAAGATAATGATTTAATTAGTTAATTAATAATTATTAATAATTACAATTTATATTTACCAATTTTGTTTCTAATAAGCTTTGATTTATGTTTTAGATCTCCAAAAATTTTATGTACAATAGTTTGATTAGCCAATATTTTGTTACTATCTAAATTGTCATTAATTTTAATATCTAAAACAATATCATATTCTTCTAAAATAGATGTGATTTTGTTTATTATAGCAATTAGAATAGCATGCTCTATTTGTTTAGAACTGCTATTATAATTTTCTTTATTTATAGTTATAGTTTTTGCATTTTTGGTTTCATATTGTCTTGGCTTTTCAACAATGTAAAATACTATAATAGGTTTGTGTAATATTTCTATAAATATTTATAAGAATATTATTAAATATACAATATTATTTAAATATAAGTACCACTAAAGGAAATGGGTATCTCAGTAATTATAATATATTACTAATCAATTATCGAGTTTAGCAATGATACAGATTGGGCTTTCGATTATACAATGTATTATATAATAATTAATACTAAATTTTTATATTAATAGTATAAAATCAAAAGCTTAGTCTGCATTATTGCTAAACTTAATAATTAAATAGTAATATACTATAATTGTTGAGTGCCTTTTTTTCTTAGCAGTACTCATATTATATAGTGTTTTGCAAAATCGAATCAAAGTTTAAGTTTTAAATTAAATATTTGAAAAGTTAAATTTGATCAAATATTCGATCAAGTCAAATTTGATCAAATTTGATTTGATTAATTATTTCTACTTAACAGTTTATTAAGCAAAAATATTTAATCAAAGCTGACTTGATCAAGTATTTTTACTCAATAAACAGTTTATTATACAGTGCTGTATACAGTACTCCTTCTGGAGTAGTATTTCTTTTTTTTTGCTAAATGATTTGCAGTCTAATTTTCTTAATTATAGTCGATCTTTTATTAGATTTGATATGTCTATTAGCAAGGTATATATTGATCTTTTCATTAGATTTGATATATCTAATAGCAAGATATATATTGATCTTTTTATTAGGTTTGATATGTCTAATAGCAAGGTATATATTAATCAGTAACAATTATTTGTATTGTTCTCCTATCTTCCAATATTTGGGAGTTACTATTCAATCTAGGCTGGCTTTTTTAAAAAATACCTAGGATACTATATGCAGTGCTGTATGGTATTAAATAAGAATATTTGATTAAATTTGATTTGATCAAATATTTGATCAAATTTGACTTGATTAAATATGTGATTTGAAGCTTAAACTTTAATTGAATCTTATAAAGCACTAATAATATATTTAAAAAAATAAATAATTTACCTGCAATTTTAATATTAAATACAAATTCGCCACTTGTTTGCATTGCCTCACGAACATGACTTTATGAATAATCAAAAGAAGCTTCAAGTATATGTTTATTCTATGATTGAATTAGCTTACATATTTTATGCAAATTTTGTTCAGTTTTTTATTGGCAGTTTCAATCAATTTATTTAAAAAAGATCTTGGTATTAAAAATATTGCTTTACACCACTTTGACATGTTACTTAAATAAATGAAAATATTGTTCTAATTTCTTCTTTATTTATATTACCAACTAATCCTGCAGCTGAAATTGCTCTTGAAAAATTGATGCCATTAGCTTCATTATAATGATCAGTTTAAGTTCTACAATTAAAACATATAATAGTAATATATAACTTAATTCAGATACTTGAATTGTACATTTATGATACATAATATCTTTATTACTATATACAGAACATGGTTTGTTTAATATTAATTCAAAATAAACTTTTATACTAACTAAAATTAATAAGCCAAGTTTTTCTTTACTAATAAGTTCTTCAAATATACATGATAAAGATTCTGAATTTATTGAATTATTAGTACTTTCATTATTGCTATAAATTAATATTAACAAACTATTAGTATAGTTTTAATAAATTAATGAATTATTATATATATATACCTTGAATTTGAAATTTCTTCAAGCTGTTTGTGAAGTTTATCTATTGTTTCAAGAGACTCATGTAATTTTTTTCTTGTATTTTTTAATTCAATACTAGATTCTTCTAATTGAAATATAAATGCTTGAACAACATAATTATCAATATCTAATCCTTTAGAATTTATTGGTAGTCCAGCTTTAAAAATAATTAAATTAGAATTATCTATCAACTCTTTATAAATTTCATCAGTTTTTCTTTTTTCTGATTTTATTATATTATTTAATTTTTTATTTGCAAGAAAAAATGCTCTAGTATCCTCGAATATATTATAATAATTAGCTATAAAACTATATAATTATATAACATTTTCAGTACAAGTAAGTTCTAACAAATATAGAACAAATATTTTGCCAGTATAATTATATTTTTTTGAATATATTTATAAAAACTTGAAAATTTATTAGGATGTGATTTGTAAGTTTAAGATTTAGCAAAAAATAAATATTCACCAAAATCAGTCTATTGAAATAAAATTTCTTGTTTGGCATAACATCATCCAAGATTTAGCCAAAAATATGCCCTAGCAAAAAATGTAAATATTGTATATCTAGGAATTAAAAGAACTCAAACTTTATTATTTTTTTCTTTTGGTATATCTTTAACACTTAATAACCAATATAATAATTGTTTATTATTAAGATCTAAAGGAATAGAAGTATATTTAGGTAATAATGATAAAAATTGTACTTGTTCACTAACAAATATAGTTCTTTTTGGTTTTTTATATTTTTTTTGTTAAAAATTTATTTCTACAAGTCATATACTCCAATCACAATCTGTCTTAAATGTAAATATTAAATAAACATTAAAATCTAAAAATAGATTATATATAAAAACTATAAAAAATTTAATATTTCTAAGAAACTAATATTAAATAATTAAATTTTATGCTTACTATATTATAATTTTAACTAAAGCTATTATCAAATATCATAAAATATCTTAAAATAAAGATTTTATTAAAAAAAACTATTAAAGACAGGAATAAACAATTTTAATACAGAATGAGCAAGTATTACTTAGAGTTAAACTAAAGTAAATTTAATAACTAGTGGTTTTAAACTAATAAAAACTTACTAAAACAAATAAAACAAACTAACCAAATAATAAAAAATTAATAAGCATTAATAAAACACTCGTTATTATAAATTTAACCAACAATAAATAATTATCTGAATCTAAAAAGATTGATATCTATAATATATATATGTATAATATCAGGTGCAGAAAGCCTACCCTTAATAAATTATTAAAAGATCATTAAGTGACTTAATGATCTTTTTTAATCTTTTAATAAATCATTAAAAGACTGTTAAGTAACTTAATAACCTTTTTTAATCTTTTCAAGATTTATTAAAAGACTATTAAGTGATTTAACAATTTTTTTAATCTTTTCAAAATTCATTAAATGACTTAACATTCTTTTAATAATTTATTAAAAGATTAAAAAAATCATTAAGTTACTTAATAGTCTTTTAATAATTCATTAAAAAATTAAAAAAGATTATTAAGTAACTTAATAATTTTTTTTAATCTGCTAATAAATTATTAAAAATAAATATTTGTTAGTATTTGATAAATTTGGTTCTAAAAGAAATAAAGATAATGAAACATATACAAATTGCAAGCAATATAATATATTTTATACTTGGTATTAAACATGAACCTTCAGAATTGTATTCCAAGTTGGTAACAATTTTGCCAATTAACTAGTTGCCAACTATAGTTGCAACTAATCAACTTTTATATCATGTAACTAAATTTGTTAATTAGCCAATTAAATAAAAGAAATTAGCATGAGTTAGCCTAAACAGACTGAATGTTTCATAATTAAACTAATTAATAATTTAGTTGCTTAGTTGTTTTTAAAATTTTTCAAATCAACTAGTTGATTTTTCAACTAATAATTTGAATTACTATTTCAGAAAACAATATAAGGATAGACAAATAGAAATAAGGATATTGACAATTGCATTAAATAATTTTAACTTAAAGCTATGAAATATGAAGATGTAATTAAATAGATTCCTTTTAATAGTTTAGTTAATGTTTAAAAGAATGGTGATAGATTTTTAGCAATATAGTTAAATGAAATGCATTATATAAATTATAAATATATATAGTTATGTAGTGTTCCGCATGAACCAGATCTAATGGATATTTCTAAAGATCCAGATCCATTCTGAAAAATCAAATCGAATCCAAGTAAAGATTCAGATTCATATTTAGTAGATTCGAATCCGATCCAGATCTGATCTGGATCTATCTTAGGCACTAAGCATATATTAGTGACGCTAAGAGAAAACCTGATCCTGTCAGTTATAGTTAATTATTTGTTATTAGCTAGATTCAGCTTGATCCAAGATATACTGATATA